AGGCCGCACAGCGGGCACGGGGGGTCCTGCCTGCGGGGCAGCTGAGGACACAGGTCGTGCTTGCGAGCAGTAGAGGAGGCTGGCGCCAGAAATCTTCCGATTTTTGCTTAAAATACGGTATCAAGCACCGCATTGATACTGGAGAACGTAGGCTTTGTGGCCTACTCTTTGCCAGTATCCTCGTCCTAATCAGTGTCGTGTCTTTGTGTCCTTTTTTAGTATGAAGACCTTGTTTGCTTTAGAGATATCAGACCCAGTGCCCCCCACCACTACCTGGTGGTGCCGGTGGAGCACATGGGGAACTGCAAAACGCTGAAGAAGGAACACATACCTATAGGTGAGGTTGTGTGTGTTTAACCTAAGGGAAGACAGTTTTGCACAGCGTGTTGTTAAGTGAACTAAACCTTTGAGCGCGTTTGGATGTGAACGTAAACACGGAAATAGATGATGTGAGTGGGTGTAGGCAGGGACTTGCCCTTCCAGGGAGCTTCCATGTGCTGTTCCAGAATAGCACTTCTTTTCGGTGCAGTTCTAGAAAAACATTGCACTAGTGCACGAAATCTCTTTTGTTTGCATGGTGTGTAGATGCCTTTGCACTTTATTGGAGCTGCAGCTTTATTTTGAAAGTGTTTACATGCAGCTTCATTGCATTTTCTTAGATACATATGCAATTTTAAATGATACAAAAATTTATAGAAGAATTTTATAAAATGTATGCTTTAAAATAAGGGGAAAAGGGAGGGAGAGAAGAGCATTTTATTATTCTAAATATTCTAAAATATTGAAGCCATGATTTATTGTTGATGGGCATTTGGATTGTTTTTTTTCCTGCCCTGGAATTTGTTTCACATGAAATGGCTAACTAAGTGTGTTGAGTAACAGAATAAATTATAGCCACATGGCATTAAGACATTCCACCTTAGGGAAATACAAGGTGATGCAAGAAAAGAGTTATAGTTGCATATTGCAAATCTTGCATGACTTGCATTTCTCTTCAACACATAGGGTAGTTTCCTCCAGAAACAACTTCAATATGTGTTTGGCTTCAACACAATTCCTTAGACTTTTGCCTTGAGTTTTTCTATTAGGGTTGCTTCTTTACTTAGTGACAGAATAATTAAACTTTGTCCTAGTAATTAGTAGGACTAACAGTTTTGTTTTAATTTAAGTTTGCTTACTGTCTCTGAAACTTGCTAACTTGTGCCATGCTGCACAAGACTGCAGGTCAAAGTCCTTTAGCTGTGTAGAGATACAGAACTGGAGTTTGTGTAAACATCATCATTCTGACCAGTTAATGTTGAGGCTTTTTATAAGGGTGCGGTATCAACATGGCTTTGGCCAAAGGTCTTAGAAGAGCATCATTAGTGTGGAAATTGGTAACATGGGTGATTTTCATGTCAATCATTGCACAACACTGCCTTGGGAATCTTTGTTTGATTATGCGTAGTTACAGTGTTTATATTTTGAAAACCCCATGTTTGTGATCTCGGTGTAATCAGTTTGTTGAAGTTAATATTCTGAAGAATACCTTTTTTAAATTACTTGATAATGTAAGATATGTTAAATATTACTTAAACATTAAATGAAATTTATTTGTGTATAATAGTGCAGAGAATGATGGAAGTTGGAAAAGCTGTCCTCCAGAGAAATAATTTTAGCGACTTAAATGATGTAAGGTAGGTAATGGAAACCTCCTGTGTTTCTTGAGTATGATTTTTACTTGTCAGAATGCTGCTTTAGAGATGATGGCAACAACTGCATTATGATTTATTGAAAAACTCAAGTCTGCATTGACTTATCACAGGACTTCTCAAGTAGAACGTGTTGGCATTGAATATAAACTATTTTTTCTGACTAATTTCCAGCACAGTTTCCATTCCAGTTCTAAGATTAGTTGACTACATCTTGGAATAGGGAGGGCACTTCAACTTATCTAAAAGGCTTCTCTTTAGTTACATGCTGAAAATATGCTCTAAATCCTGGATTTCAGAGAACAGATAAACTTTGTCCTATTCAAGCAGGGCACTGCACTGTGCTTCAGTCATACCTGCATTCACTTGATCTCTGTTGCACTCTTTGACTTTAAGCTGTTGCCTTTCATAGCCAAAGTAAGTTGTAACATCATTTAAATAGTGTAGAGTATAAGGAGCTAGGCCTTCATGATTAAAGCAGGTAGAAACTACATTAATCTAGTGAGAGTTGGCTTTCAAGCTGAAAACTAAAAAAGAAGGTTTTAAAAAAAAGTATCATATATGTACTTATTTTTTTAAACCTTCCATTTTAACAAAATATGTCTTAAATACAGAGATGTGAAAGAATGGGTTAGTGGACTTTTGAAAAAGTTCCCTGAGAGCATAATGAAAGAAACAGTAATCTCTTTGTTCCTGCCTTTGTGTACAAAGAAAATGCGATAAATTGAGTTGTTAATTCAGTTGATCATGTTAAATAACTTGCAGTGTTCACCCTGTTCCTGAATTAGCGTTGCCACTTATACTTGTTTTTCTTTTCTGAAGAATGGGTTTTCACTGGCCTCCCTTCTGCTCAATATCCCACTTGCATCTTCATGTCCTAGCCCCAGAGAGTCAGCTAGGATTCTTATCCAGACTTGTGTACAGAATCAATTCCTACTGGTTTATCACGGTAAGTCTAGCACAGATGAGCTTTTTGGTAGGTTTTCAATTGGAAGCTGAAAATGTGATGCATTGGTAATTTTTTAACTGTGTCCAAAATTCTTTGAACAATTATTTTTGTCATGACTGTAATTATAAATTATTCTGCCCTAAGTAGCTCATTGCATTTTTACTGTGTATATTTAAAACATGCCAAACTTAAGCTTTTTACCTTTTAATGTAGTTCCCTTTGGAGATCTTAAGAAGACCCTAAGCACTAGTTCAAATTATAAGAGTGTTTCAGTGGGACTGGCAAAAAAAGACTGACAGTAAACTGATTTGATTCAGAAGTACCCGTGTTATTCTCTCTGTGCCCAGCTTGGCCTGCTAGAACAATTTTGGAAGACTTCCTTCTGCCCTGAGCCTTTCTGAGGGCTCTGTGGATTGATGGTGCTACATACACAAAATACTTGACCGCCTCAGTTATGTACTAGATGCATATATAGCCACATGATGAGAAAAGTTACGTGTGAGCTTAGTGATGTAACCAAAGAAGGGATGTACATCTTATGACATGAACCACATACACGAATGCACTCCATCCCTCAGCAGCAGATGTGGCTGGTGTGCAGCTGGCTGGGTGATGAGAGGCCTCAGCAAGCTGTTCTGGAGTGTCTCCCAGAGAATTCCAGGTCTTGCAGCTTGGTTGTTCTGAGCACTTTTATCTTCTGAAGTCTTTAAAAGCCACTGCTTTACCTGTTAACTTATTAGTTCACACATCCTCTGACTTTGATTGGTTCTGCTTCCTCTTGTGATCATCTAATGGGAGTTTGATGGAAACTGTGAAAAAGGGTCTGCTGTTTAACTCATTCATTGAATTCTGCTGCTGTTGTATGCTTTTTCTGTAAATATGAAAAGTAAATGCTCTGTCAGTGTTACTTGTTCTTTTTAAAATGGAATTTTCAGTAAACTGAAGGTCCATGGTGTAGCTAATGCATTGCTTTCTCTCTTTCATAGGCTGAGCAACTGATTGAGCGACTGCAAACTGAAAATGCTGCCAGTTGAAATCACTCTGCGCCTTGTGTCACTAGCCAGTTTGCTCTTTGTCTTTGAACTCTGATTTAAGGTTGCATAGTTTGATGTTGCCAATAATATACCAGGATATAAAAAGCTTTAGTTCCTTTTGAGGAAATACAGACAGAATTTGTAGCTGCCAGCCTGATTCTCCCATTTAGATACTTGAGTCCATGTACTTCTCTGACAAAACGGTGATGTTTTTTAATTATAATTTTATATTTGTGTATATTTACATACATAATACACATACATATGCAGAGAAATTTTCCTGGCAAAAGGCTGGGTATAGCAGCAGAATGTATTGCAACTAAGGCAGTAATTTACTACTAACAGCATGTGTGTGGTACCAAAGAGAGTATTTGTTGTGGAGTCAAGTTTTGATTTGAAATATGCATTGTTCTGCATTTAAAACATTTAAGTTTCCATCCGTGTTTGCACATATGTTACTTATGCCTAGCTATTAGTAGATACTTAGCTGAAAGTACACTACTAACTTTCTGGTGCTAAACCACTTTAATATATTACCTGTCTAATTTGCATGACAGAGACATAGTAAATGTTAATACATTAGGTGCCCAAGATGTGATAATACTATATAACATAGAATATAGTTTAAATGTGTAAGTGGCTGTATGTTGGACGTAAAGATTGTTTCCCTCTTATGTGCACAATATTTTAAATTAGTTTATGTATGTTTACAAAAAATGTGAAGAGTTTAGAGGCACTGATTCAATATGTTGCTCTTCTGCATGTAGGTAGAAAAAAATACATATTTTTAGATGGTCCTGATACTGTTCTCACTGGAAGACCCTTGGAGATTACTAATGCCTTGGCTAGACTTGGTTTCTAAATGAAGCCATAGGAGAAACAGGTCTTCAGAGCAGTGAGTGTGTGTCAGGCTTGCATAATAGGAATCTGATTTGAATTTGGGATAGCAGGCACTTGTCCCAAAATTGGAACATGTCCTGAACATTTGCCTTTGCTGTATGACTCCAATCAGTAATGCCAGCACTCTGTTTTTCACTACCATATTAAGGCAGACTGTTTGGAAAGTTAAAACTCCAGAAAACATGGAGTGGATTTTCTCTGTTCACGGAGCGTACCTCTTGGTGCCTAACTAATATCAAGTGTCCTTGGCTAATGCATTTACATGCAGCTGAGGTGATGATGGTCTGTTGCACCTGTGAGCTTCCCTGAACATAATCTTCTCAGAGCTTTCCATTGATCCAGCACCCCTTGCCTTAGTGGTACAATATATTGTAATATTCTTACAGTAGGCTATAAGTAATACATCAGAAATTTCACACTCTTCTGAAGAACGTTTTCTACCCAGCAGAGTTTATACCTCTTTTTTCTGTAAGACCTTGTTCCTAATGTCATGCTATTCTGATTACTGGGCACTCGTGTCATTTGCAGCCCTTTAGGGTTTTAATTTGTAACATTTGGTAGGAAGAATGTGAGTTAAAGCCACTGAACTTTGACTCTTCTGTGCAATATATTGAGAAGGTTTGAGCTGGCCCCTAGCTTTGTGAAATACCTGAACATTAAGACCTTTAAGAGTTAATGCTGTGTGTGTGTTCTGATTTGTAATTAATTTATGTGACTATACTTAACGGTGACATTTAATATTTAAAGTACCAGGATGGACCATTGTCCAAAAGGATTAATAAACAGAATAAATGCTGATATTGAAATGGTCTTCCAGTGCAATGGAATAGTTGACGGGGGGAGTTGACTCTGGATAGCCCTTTGCTCTCTCTTTATCCCCAACACCAACAGGATGGGAGAGAGAATAGGAAGAGCAAAAGTGAGAAAAGTCATGGCTCAAGACAGAGACAGTCTAATAAGGAAAGGGGAATTAAAAAAAAACATGGTATGCAATGCAAATATTCATGACCTCCCACAAGCAGACCAGTAGCAATGGCTTACTCCCCACCTCCTCTCAAAAAAACCAGCAACCCGGTCCTCAGCTTTTATTGCTGTGCATGGCATTATACTACATGGAATATTCCTCCTGGTTGTTTTGTGCCAGGTGTGCAGATTGTGCCCTTTCTCATCTTTTTGCCCACTGGAGGGGCAGAGCAGGAAAAAAGGCCTTGATGCTGCACAGGCACTGCTCAGCAATTGCCAGAGCAGTTAGTGTGTTACCAACACTGTTTCAGTCACAAACCCAAAACCTGGCACCTCATGAGCTGCTCTGAAGAAAATTACCTCCATCACAAGCCAGACGCAAGATGTTGTCAAATGTGCACAGAAACACAAAGGTCAGCTTCCATATCTTCCATTTGAGAATGGTCCTACTAATGACAGTGAGACTGGGAAGGTAAAAGTCAGGATATAACCTAGCTTCCAAACTTTTGCTGATGAGCAAGATGGGGAATTCAGCTTGTCTCTGGCACAAGGAGACCTGCCTCAGAACAGCTCAAACAGTGTTAAACACCATGTTAATTACTGAGATGAATACTTAGTACCTCATTATCATCTTTCAGCATAGAATTGTGTTCCATTTTCTTTTTGCATTGACAAGCATTCTTAGACTCAGAAGATAATTTTTTTAATTAGGTTAAAAACATTTTTGGAAAAGCCCTTCCTAATGCTTTGTGCTTTGAATATGTTGCAGAATTGCTTGTTAGCCCCTGGAAGATGTGGTGGGCAGATCCCATTAGCTATGTCACCCTCTTTTACAGCTGCATTATGGCATAATTTTAAAACTTCCAAAATTGTAGAGTTTGCAGTGAGCAAAGATCAATAAATATTGGAGAGTTAACTCAGCAACTCCTACTCTCCAGGAGCCTGGAGAAGCAAAGTTGCTTAGCCACTGCCCCTGGCTCTGTTCTTTGATCCAGTATTAGCAATCCTGAGAAAAGCTGCTTTTTTTGACTACAGGTTTAGTCATGACAAAGCTTTATTTGTACTCTTTTGCTCAATTGTTCTACATAAACGCCTGATCTAATGGAACCCAGAGAATAAAACTTTAATGCTGAAGTACTCGCTGGCCCCTCTGAAAAAGAGGATGAAAAAGATACACTCTGTTAAATGCAGAATAAAAAAAAGCCAATGTTTGTGTTTTACAAAGGACAGCATTTACAATGTGATTAAATCGGTAATGGCTCCTCAAGCTATTCTGAAGTTTTCTTAGGTGTGAGTTGTAAATAAGAACCTAAAAATAGAAGCGAACCAATGAAAATCACATTTGAAATTTGACAAACTTGGAAACAGTAAAATGCTGCCTAAAACCTCACTTGCTGTCATTTCAAATCGATGTGAAACATTTACTGAAGTGCTGAAAGTACTTTCAGTATATGACAAGATGAAATACAGGTAATACCTATACAATGTAGAGGCCAAAACAGGTGCAGAATTCACAGCCTTCAGGTGGAAAAAAGAGGAAAGCACTGGGGAAGCTTGCCACAAAGAAATGAAATGGAGAGATTTGAAGAGCTAAAAGTTACTGGGTAGGGCAAGAACACCCTTTAGGTCAGAGTTTACTTACTACTGCAAATAATTTGTAATGCCAAAAAAACTCAAATGCTATAATTTTCATAAAAATACTTCAACAAATTCTGATCCATTTAGTCTAATGGGACTCTGGTGCGAAAAAAAAGGCCTGTTGAAAAATGTAAATTCTTTTTTCATCTGTAGATGCTTAATCTTTTCTCCCCACGTCAGGTGAGGCAGCAGAATGTTTTAAGACTTATAAGCTAGTAGCTAAATTGAGTCCTGCACATTAGATATGATGCATTAATGACTAAACAGGCTACAGGAGTCTTTTTTTTTCTATTGTGGAGTGTACCGTGGGGAAACTGACCTATTACCTACCTTTCAGACTTCTTTTGAAATATTGGCTATTGCTGGAAGCAGGAGATGGGATCTGTCAGCTTGCATGCTGGCCCAGTTTAACAGCTTTTTTGTGTTTACATCCACTGCATGGGCACACAGGAAGGTATCAGTCACTCTTTAGAACATGCTTGCCTAAAGCTGGCGGGTAGCAAATTTGGCCCTGTAATTTGTAGAATAAAACAAATCACATTCCATAGCTGTATTATAAAAAGCTTGATTAATTTTGAAACCAAAATGTATGTCCAGTCTTTATCTAATGGGAGTGGAAATCCACTGAGGTGTGCTCGTGCCATTTTGGCAAGAAATTGCTTTTCCAAAAAACAAGCATTTTAAATGTGTTACGATCACAAATGATATGTCTAGTTTTCAGCTGCAAGACATATATTCATTTAGGAAGAAGAAACGAGTTTGAAAACAGAGGCTACACCAGCACTGCCTGATGCAACAGTTTCCAACATGGCAAATTTTTGCGGTGATTAAAATCCACCCTTTGTCACCCTGCTCTATCTGCATCTGGCTACCCTGTCCCCCATATATACTTATTTCAGTACATTAATTTCTCCCATTTTTTTTCTGTTTGCATTTCCTTTTCACTAAGAGGAGGCAGAGGGATAATTAAATCCATGCTTTTATTTGCTCAGTCAGAAGGCTTATTTTGATGCAAATACATATTGAATGAAAATGTTAAAACAACCCCCACACACACATTATTGTAGGATTTTTTGCAGAAAAATCTTCTTTTATATAAACAGCATAAAATCTATCACATTTAGCAACAGAACATCTTACTTTAAAGATGCATCAAGTAGTGTAGTTAACACCCCATAAAAGCTTTTATTTGCACTGGTAAAAAATAGAATTTTATATTTCTGACTATACAGTTTTATTGGTGGGAACTATTGCAAATACAGCTCCTGATTATTTTTAATAGCATTATTACAACTACTGTATATAAACAAACTTTTTTTAACACATTGAAAAAGTTCTCCCAGAAGGACCCTGAAGAAAACTGCTGTTGTCTTTCAGTCTCAATTTTAAGTAGCTAATCCTTTTTTCTCCTAGTTTGGAGAACTCACAGGTGTGCTCTGAAAGCACAGCCCTATCTCAGATAAATGAGGTATGGGATCGCACCATTACACCTTTATTTA